AATAACATATTTTGTTCAAGATTGAAATTGATCGACTAAATTTAACATTTCAATCTTGAACATACCGCCCGCCTTGTAGTCGAACATCTGGCTTGAGACCATCTTTTGATCTTTCTTTTAAATTTTCTTTTTCTTTTTTTCTATTATTAAACTGAGTTTCGGTATTAATTGAATGATTGCGCTACTGACGTTGATTTTGCAATTAATGTTGTAGCGGCTGTTTCAACAAGATTCGAACGGTTTTTGATTTTCGTTTAAGATATTTAAACGGTAACCGTTGATAAATCAAAACACGAGCGAGTAAATAACGTCACGTTCAGCTGATCGGTGCGTGCTCGTGCGCTACCCTTCAAGCTGAAAAACTGTGACAAACAGCAAGTTCTCGAACGATTGACGTCGAAAAACCATTGTTATTGCCATCGGCAGACTGCAGTCGATCGATTTAATCTGCCTACGATGACGATTCAAGCCGGTCGAAATTCATCGATCGTTATCATTTTCTCTTGTCGTTATTCTCGCTCGTGTCGTTTCTGCCGTAGTCGTCTCAAATTCGTTACAAAGTGTCTCGCATCCGATCGCTTCTCATATTCTCGCGGCGGTCAATTCGTTAATGCCTTAAATAGTATTCTTTACTTCTTTATTGTTAAGATATTGTGAACGTATGAAAGTGGGGAGTTCGAGAGTCGACGATGGTTAACCGTATATCGCGAATGTCCTCTGCCTCGCGTTAAAGATCTCCGGCGTCCGCGATCAAGATTTCTTACCTCGCGAAAGCTTCTAGCAAGAAGTTCTTCAAGATTTCCGAAACGCGGAAAAGACAGTAATTACAAGGACATATTTGAAAATTTCCGAAAGTAGCCGCGGAATACGCTACATCGCTCGCTCCCGATATATTACAATAAAACTTGCATTAAATTTACGATCACGTGAGTTTATCATCTAAACCCGTTCCTCCAGCGGATCTTCGGATTCGCGCTACACTCGTTTCTCGCTCAAGTCTGAGCGTATCTCAGTTTCGGGCGATCGTCGAGGTCGACTCCCCAACATATTTATTTACTTTAAATAAAATATTTTTTGAATCAATTTCACTTTTTCTTCAACTTAAACAATTATATTATTTTTTCAAACAATATTCTTCTTTTATTCAAAAGATTTATTATGTTGCTTTTAACAATTTAAATAAATCTTAAAACAAGTTAGGATAAAGTTAAATTGTATGTTACTGCATCTTTTTAATCAAATCTTTGAAGCATCTTAGGGTAGTCATAGCACGTAGAAAAACAATTTTACTTATTCGGAATTTCTATCCGAATAAGTGAATATCGGACATTTGTCTGTCCGACTTTCCAAAAATCAGTTCATTATCATTGTCAGTATCATTATCGTATCAGAAATGAAACTGATAGAAACACTTGTTAAATGTTATTAGCCGCATTTTGCAGGCCTTATTCATATACGCTTATGACAGAAACTTGAATACGAGTTTGGTGCACCGCATAGCGGTAAGCGAATAAATTATATATTCCAAATAATAGCTATTTTTCCGTCAAATATGGTTTAATGCAACGAAACTATTAAATTTTTATTCAACAAAATAATGTTTCGTATAAAATTATATTTTTGTACGAAACAAATATAAGTCAAACAAATAGATATATTAAATTTAAAGAAACCTTTTTCTTTGTGTATATGTTGTGTTATTGCACAATTTTTCTTTTTTAAGGAGACAATTAATAATATAATTACTAAAAAATACTATTGTTAAATGATAACTAATCGCACATGCTATTTTTAGAATTATTTAAACAGATTTACATTTATAAAATTAAACGATACAAATTCAAATAGGAGTGCACACATTCTAACATGCCTTATATATGAACGTTGCAAATGCACCTTTATGGACAAATTCGCTTTGAATGCGTGTATATGTAAATCTGAAATCGGAAACGCGGAAAAAAATATCATTTTTCGCAAAATAGATCTCGAGATCTAAAGATTAACTGCAATCTTATTCAAACTAGTGGCGATCGAAAGCTTGTGTCAATATTATATAAGAAAAGTGCCGTTAGATTTTGGTTAAGAACTTTATTTCCTGAGATATTGTGTAATTGAAAGCACGTTTGACAGAAAATTCCGGATAAGCTTCTTGATAGCGCCTCGACGATTGCCGTGAATATAGTCGCGGATCGCGGTTCGCGAGTCGCGGAGCTAGTCGTTCTCGCGCTTTTTATGTACTTGGCATTGCGACGCCACGACGTCATTTGATACTTGGGCCGTGTTCCGACATTCACTGCCAATATTAAAAATCTATAGTTTACGTCACATACACTATAGATTTTCAGTATTGGCAGTGAATATCGAAAGACGGCCTTAGAACGCGAAACTCGATCAAAATTTGTATTTTGAATTGCGTGACGTGCGCCCGTCATCGAGCTACGATATCACATCAACGGATGGGAGAAATTCTCTAAGTCCGCGTTAGACCAACACGGCCAAATACTTTTCGTGTATCGCTATAGATTATGCGGGGCCATTCTTTATTAGATCCGCGAAAGGAAAGAGTCACAAAACGCATAAGATTTACTGCGTTCTCTTTGTATACCTAACGATTCGTACCATATACCTGGAAGTCGCAGACAACTATACTTCCAGTGACTTCTTGGCCGCGTTCGAAAGATTTACCGCACGGAGAGAACTACCGACGATAGTATGCAGCGATAACAAGACAAATTTTCAGGATACCGACAATGAATTGACTAGGAGAATTCGCGAAATATTAGGGGATTTAGAGCTTCAGAATCATTTCGCTTCAGATGAAATCTTTTGGCGATTCATCTCTCCGGCTGCTCCTCGATTTGGAGGACTCTGGGAGGCCGGCGTAAAGAGCGTCAAGTTTTATCTTAAGAGAATAATTGGAGATTTCACTCCAACTTTTGAAGAATTCTAATATACTCTACTGTGCATATAGAGTGCATCTTAAATTTCTGACTGCTTTCTCCACTATTCGATGATCTAGAGAACTTCGACATTCTAATTCCGGGTCACTTCCTTGTCGGATCACACCTGAAGTCCCTTCCTCAAGTTAGGGATACTAATATTAATAGATTATTGAGGTGGCAGACGGTTCAACGGTTGCAAGAGAGATTCTGGAAGGTGTAGTCATCTGATTATTTAAACTCACTCCAACAACAGAAAAAGTGGCGTACTTGCCAAACAAATCTCACAAAGCCGATGACCTTGATATATTATGCAACCCGAATGTTTCGCCGTCTAAATGGAATATTAGGCGTATATTGCAATGTCATGCCGGAGATGACAATTTAGTACGTATGATCACCGTGAAAACTGCCAGATTCATCCTCAAACGATCCGTAACACAATTATATAAGTTACCAGTTGAACCGTCCATCCCCGCTTTGATAATGACCGCTAATGACCGCTAATGACCTCTAAGCGTAGATTGTTGTACAGCAATTAGACATAGAGCGATAAAGCAATGCTAGCATTCAATAGTCACGTATGTTACATAATTGATCGTCGTTCACTCAGATTGAACGAAGCGGATGGAATGTTACAGAATACACTCATTATTATTATTTCTCTCTCTCTTTCTTTATATATATATATATATATATATATATATTGATCTAACAATTAATATTTATAATACGGAAATAGAATAACTGAGATAGATTATTCTAGAAAGCCGTTCTTTCTCTCTCTCTTTTCATGTTTTGAGTGCTTCGGTGACTTTGCCCCTACGCGAGGCTCCTTTGACACGTTGCTTACAGGCAAAAACTTCGCGTGTTTTGGAATGACATAAATAGTTTCGATGCCCATATTTGGGCAAACGTATCGATCTTTGATCTTAATTGATTCTAACATCCAAAATTGCGACAAATTTATGTGAGAATTGAAGGTAGGATGATCGAGATCGTCGAATTCTAAGCAGTCTGACGACAGAGAGCAAACGAATAAGAACAAAGTGTATCAAACCGCATAATAATTATAACTTCTAGTCCATCATGCGATTTAGTATAATCGATTATATCGTGAAGACTGTATACTGTTAACGCATGTCATGTATAAAAACATTCTGCGAACGATATAACGATCGGTAGACAATTTTATGTGAGTAGACAACTCTGACATTAATTGAATAAAGATGTTCGTCTCCATTGTAATTCAAAGGTATTGTTCGTGTGTCTCTCGACCTTCCGTAAATCATTTGCAGTCGCACCTGCAATTATAAATCTTACAACATTAATTAATTCTTGTCAACAAATATATTATAATATACTTTTTTTAAATTAATATATTACACAAAATATATATTGTGATATATAAGCGTTATTGCAATATTCTTACATATCGTTTACCACAAAAATCAATCAAACAAGTAGAGTTGTGCAAATTAGAAACTTGCACATTGCTTCCTCATCATTTTATCTCACAATGCTTAAGCTGCTTTAAGCATGCAGATTTTTCAATTTTTGCTTCCTTATAGAGGAAGCTTTGTAAGCGAAATAAAAATTAAAATGATTTGCTAATAGTTGATAATTACAATTATTACGTTTAATTATCGCATCTAACGATCTCTCGGTACTTTTAAATAAAATTTACTTTCATTTTGATCATAATTTTATCGTTTGACATATATTACGTGTAACATCAGTATATGTTACCATTTTTGCTCACTCATTGTCAGTATCAGTAAATCTTAAATTTTTGTTTTAAATTTTAACAATCTTTCGATATAGAATGTATCAATGCGTTCTCTGCCCATGAGATACATTTCGTGGACACGGTGAACGTATTTAATATTAATTTTTAAATTATTAATTCTTGAATTATTATTAAAAGTTGATTCACACACACACACAAAATTATAAAAAATCGAAATGTATCTAATATGTAATCAGCAAACTATCTAATCTGCATTTGTGCTATTAAAGTTATTTAATTATTAAAATATTGTTTCTCTATTTTTCTAAAAGGTCGTGTATGTTGGCGATGGCTCCGCTTATGTGCCAGTTCCGTCGTTAAAGAGCCGACCCGTGAATCCGAATCTTCAAGCTCTTCAAACTCTTCAAGGCCTGCAAGGGCTTTCTGCAGGGGGAGGTACCGGCGTAGTCGGTGACGAAGATTGGAGGAGACACCCAGAGACTTGGGACCGCGAACACCGAAGATACAGACCCAATACGACGCGAGTGCAACGTGAGTATATAAAAACATCTTCCTTATTTTCTCGTTGAATTTGATTACTTTCATATAGATGGAGTTGATATGATAATATTAAGATAAACGATCTTTGATAAATGCTGCAGATGTAATTAATACTCTCAATGGTCTATTTACACACTTTTTCAGTAGAGTAAACTAAATATGAAATTAGGGATGGAGAGATACTAAGGAAATTACCCTTCAACCTGTACAATCTTCCGAGCTAATAGAAATTTCCTGTTTTGTAAGCATAGCTTTAATGGCAGCTTGCATCAGACCGCTAATTCAGCGGAAATACGGGTATGAAAGGGTATTGATTACGACGATCTAGAACCAATAACAGAAATCTCTATCTCTGGCCGATAGTGGATTGTCGATTCAATTTCATTCGTGATTACATTATTACATTCTCGCGCATCAAAGTAGAAGGAATTTCTTGGGAAACGTATTTAGAGCAATAGAATGGGTGGGAGGGTCCGCTATATTCCTCATCCGAATGCAAAAGCGCCGACAAAACATATCCACGCGGTAAATATCCGGTCCCGGTGGGTCAGTGTGCCTCGGATGAGAAAGGCCGACGATGTGGTCGTCGCTTTAGCATGTCGATCCGTTATTTTTCCGCCCGATGCCCGGCAAGAAGCCCGAAACTTGCAGACGGCGCGATGCAAGACAAAGAGTAAGAGCTTCCCTCCGAGACGCGGTGTCTCGGTCGATCGACTTGAAAGAATCGCAGCGCACAACGAGCGTTCCACGATATACTACGTTTCATCTCTACGATCTCAGGCAGCTCGCCCGAGAATTCAGAGAGTGCGATGGCTACCGTTAGAGAGAAGGCAATTAAAACGGTGTCGGAAAGTCGTACGACGCTCCTGACATCGAGAGTATACGCGGGCGGTGCACCACCTCCGCGTAACGTAGACCTATGCCCATCTCCGATCATCTCGTCCTCCCGAGCAACGTCATCATCATCCCGGGCGATCATCATTATCCGCATCTTGCGGATCGAGGCGATTGCCTCGTGGAAACTCGAGCAGATAGAACTCGGACGCGTACGTTATAGCGCTGGTACCTAATCGACGACAGCTCGTTTCTGGCATCGGGGTTTTTTTTTTCTACGAGAAGATTGCGACGCCGCCGCGTCGCGATGAAAATGATGTTTATGAGCGGCCGTTACACGAATTTTTTCGTACCGATGACGATGACGTGAAGTTATGTCATGGAGTCTGCGAGAAATCTTTGAATGATTTAACGTTATCTCGAATATGTCTAAGATCGTTTTTATATTTATAATTAGCTTGTTATTTTCTTTATAATGGACCATCTTGTGTATCTAATCTTATTGCGATAAAAAACGCTATTAAATCGCGTTTGTGGAAATAACAAATTTGCAAGATTACCACTTTCGCAAAGGAGTTTCATTTCTTTTGATTTTGCAATAAAAATTCTATCCAACTGATTAGCTCGGACGAAGTGGCTTTTATAACGAAAGCGTAATCAATGATGTCTCGTTAAAGTTCTAATCAGTTGATGCTTTAATTTTAATCTCATATAGAATGCTCGTGCAGCGGTAATTAATGCCAGTAGAACAAGACGTTAATCGGGCCGATGTAGTATATCCCGTTATGAAAGAATAAACAATGTCCTGTGAAAATAAAACTAATTTCCTATGTATAGTAGTGCGCATTTATTACGCACATCCGCGCCGCGATATTTTTCTGGAGCTTTAAAAGTTTATCGCGAATGAATATGAATACTTAAGTATAGTTCGTATATATCGGCGAGTAATCAAGCAGGTCTCATTATCTGATATTCCCAGAGAAAATTATAGCGTGTCTTCCGTAATAATGTAAATAAATAATATTGACTAAATAGAGAGAGAATGGTATCGCTCTCTATCAAGCCTCCCTCGTTGCGAATCCTTTTAATTGCATTTCGCGGAAAATTATATGGTCGTATTGGAAATCGCAATGTGAGAAAAATATTTTAACGACGCATCATTCCCCCCCACGCTTATTCAACCAGAACGAAGCATCCACTCATTACATTTTTGCCGTCGACAATTAATCGTTTCGTGTTTCTTAACTGAATCATTATACGCCAATTTGCTTCATCGATACGTATTATCCACGGGATGAAGATACGATCATCTATTATATTCGTTGAACTCGATGTATATAATTAAAATCAGTACCGTAAAATTATGATTCCAAAATTCTATTACATAAATCCTATTATGTAATAAATATGTAATATTATGTAAACTTATATAAGATGTTGCAGATTCTCGCTTTTTCTTTCATTGCGAGATAGCAATATTCTTGCATGCTATTCTTTTATAAAGTTTAAGCAGCGAGAAAGAATTGAGTTATAAGCGATCGACATAAATCTACTTCGCTCTACTTCACCCTGATAAATCATTCGAAATGCATGTTTCATAAGAAAAATCGACCGTACAATCATCCAAGCACCATTTTTGAAAAGATCGATGGATTCAGGCCCTCCGGGACGATCGACGATCACGTTGCTACGGCAAATTTCCTAAAACATTTGGATGAGGTTGCCATTGGCAATGATGAATGCTACGCTCGGCGTATAAAGCTCGCTGGTCGCTGGTTCAATGAAGTCGTAAAGTCAAGCCGCTTGCTCTCTGCGGGAACTTGAGGCCACCCGCGGGATCATCAATTACGCGAAAGAGGGCCTATTAGGTTTAATGTATCCTCGTCGGTAACGCTCGATTCTCGTACGTCCTCGAGATCCATTTTGCTATTCCTTTTTCTTTTGCTTCTTCTACACAATCCGCTTTTTCCACTGCGCATTCGAAATTGCGAATTTTCTCCTTCCAATCAGTTTGAATTTAAATTGATGAATAAAAAAATTTGAAGATGTGTATGTGTAAAAAATCAAATTTAAGATTTCATTGTTGAAAGATAAAATATCAAAAATAAAAAATTTCGTAGTCAAGTCTGAGAGAAGACACATGCTGAAGAATATAAAAAGAAGTAGAGTTGTGCAAATTAGAAACTTGCACATTGCTTCCTCATCATTTTATCTTACAATGCTTAAGCTGCTTTAACCATACGGATTTTTCAATTTTTGCTTCCTCATAGAGGAAGCTTTGTGAGCGAAATAAAAATTAAAATGATTTCTTTCACCAATCCTCACTAAATTCAATATCAAACATCCTTTAATAATACTCTATTTATATAAAAAAATTTAATTCAATATCTCAAATTTTCTGAAAGTTACAGCGTGTAAAAACATTTTTCAAAAAATTCAAAATGTTTTGATATAATTTTTAAAAACTTCTCGATTTTTACGGTATAAGCGTAGCATGGATACCTTAAAAGGAACCCGACAATATCCTCCGCGTCTCTCCGTGGCCGTCTCTCTCGGCACGTTCGAGCAAATATCGGCGTTGCTCAACTCTTCCCATTGTCTGCCCACTGACGTTTTGCCGGACGATGAACACAAAGCACGTATCCGCAATTCTAATAAGCGTGCGTATACGTACGTGCGCCGCTCGAAAATGCGCTCGGCACACTCGCGCACGTACGCGAAGCGTAGGAAGAAGGTGAAACGGAACGGTTGTATCATCGGCATGTGCCTCCGGTGTAACTATCTTTCGCATCTCCATCTCCGTTTTATTATTTTTTTCCATTTCAATCCATCGCGCTCGCATTGATCTCCGAATTGTACTTTTTTTTATTTATCTAATCGAATCGAGACTAACTCGTTAATTTTTTAATTACTTTCAAATAAATTTGGAGTAATTTACACACAATATTCGGATCCTTAACTCACTTTAAGAATTTTACGTCATTTTAATCAATCGATATTCGATTTTTAGAAAAATTTAATCTGATTGATTAATTTTCTTACAATCTTATTTTGTATAAATACGTTTCGGACACAGAAACGGTCAATTAATATAAAATATATAATCAAATGTGTCATGCCATGCGTCCTACGACGATGCGCGTGGGACAAGCGTGGGTCACGGAATGAAAAGGTTGTATCATCGGTAGACACCTCGACTGTAACTATCACTATCCTCCATCAATCTCTATTCCGCTTTGCAGCCGCGGCGGCGGGTTACGTTGTTGCAGTGGAAACGGCTTCTCACCACGAAGAGCGCCTATACCGGACCCCCAACTTACTTTCACTCGTCATCGACGACCGGTTTTCCACTCGTTCCTCTATCCGCGAATCTACGATTTTCCGCGCCCGGTTTCGACACGCGAGTGACGACAGGATCTTCCGGCCGCGACTGCACGCCCATACACGACGATCGATCGAGGCGTTTCACCGATATTTGCTCGACGCATCCGACTCGTCTCCAAGTGGAGATAACCGGGCCCGATTGAATACGGTAACGCTATTGCGCTCTTCTGAAAAAACTTTTCTCGTTCAAGAAAGCTTCTGTACAACTGAAAGAAGATCGCCACTTAGGTTTCTTTAAACAGGATCAATTTCTTATTACAAACTGGTTATGATCGTTATTTAATACATTTTTTAATTATATAATGCATATAAGATTATATAGTCCATATATTTTTTTGGTAGTTGTTACGTTAAGTTATTATTTGAAAGTCGATTCTTATATATAATGGATGTATTGTAGATTCATAGCGGTGAGGCGTCGATTTTTTCCGCTAGTTCGTATAGTCGGATACGCAGTTTTCCCCATTCCTCTTTCGACATTCAGAGATTCCACCTAGACCTTCTCTGTTTCGTAAATACAAGAAGACAGTAGACAGAGAGTTCATCGCGCTGATGGATCAACAATGTAGCTCTGATATAGGTCTTCTTTGGATACCTTTACTGATAGTTTGTCGAAATACTGGCGACCAGAGAGATATATTGTACTCATCGCAGTCATAGTAAAACCCTCAAATTACAAGAATCATTATTGCATATAACTATACATACAATAAAATATAAACCAAAACAGAGGTGCAGCTAAATAAACTTAAATAAATTCACAATTATATCGTATATTTACAGATATCGAGGCGGAATGTCAAGACGACTACATGAAAATCAGGATTGGATTCAACGGATCTTTTGCCGGCCTCTTATATTCAGCAGGTAAAATTAATTGCACAATTATATATATATATATATATATATTTTTTGATGAATAATAATTTCTACTTGTGTAATTCCATTTATCCGTGTTACGAATTTTTTTCTAACATAATTGCACAGTTATATTCTCATGATCATACGCGTAATTAATGATATAACATTAATTAAGAGTTAAATATTAATTATATCTGGCGCGAGAATGTATAATAAATATTGCAAGATAAATTACGTGAGTACCGTAGTGTCAAAAAAAAATGGCAGTTCTGAGTATTTCGCACCAGATTCTCCATCATGGTCAGATTCAATATAATACTGCTCCTAAAATATGTGACTGCATAACTGACCACATCACTGGCATCCGCAATTATCTCGGCAGATACTGAAACGAGTATATGTCTGCGCTAACGAGATAATGGTGGAAATTATCGTAAAGCGATCGGCCGCGCCAGAATTTTTCCATCACTGTCGTAAGTCCATCTGTCCCGTTCTGGTGAGATACTTCCGTTATTTCGAAAGAAGCGTACCGCGCCGTATCTCCTAATAGTGCGTGTAATACGCCGGAAAAAAATGCCGCAAAGTGATCTCTTTGCGAGTCATTCGTTGAAGAAGAGAACCCGCTCTAGATGTCGAATTTTTCTGTTCGATATTGATTATGTTGACTTGCAATATTCTCAATAATAAGTTATTAATCGATATTTTTCTCGACATGTGACAAGCAGAACACCTTTGTAGATATGTAATCTTAAGACACTGAATCGGATTGAATCTAGCAAGATGACTGAAATGTCAGATTACCCTAATCTCCGACTTCCTATCACAGGCGCTAACGACTATACTTCATATTTCCTCGCGTATGCTGTCTCTCTCTCTTTCTCTCTTTTTTCTTAGTTCGTCCATTTGTTTGCAAAAGAAAAATGCCTCAACATCTATATATATATATTTTTTGATGAATAATAATTTCTACTTGTGTAATTCCATTTATCCGTGTTACGAATTTTTTTCTAACATAATTGCACAGTTATATTCTCATGATCATACGCGTAATTAATGATATAACATTAATTAAGAGTTAAATATTAATTATATCTGGCGCGAGAATGTATAATAAATATTGCAAGATAAATTACGTGAGTACCGTAGTGTCAAAAAAAAATGGCAGTTCTGAGTATTTCGCACCAGATTCTCCATCATGGTCAGATTCAATATAATACTGCTCCTAAAATATGTGACTGCATAACTGACCACATCACTGGCATCCGCAATTATCTCGGCAGATACTGAAACGAGTATATGTCTGCGCTAACGAGATAATGGTGGAAATTATCGTAAAGCGATCGGCCGCGCCAGAATTTTTCCATCACTGTCGTAAGTCCATCTGTCCCGTTCTGGTGAGATACTTCCGTTATTTCGAAAGAAGCGTACCGCGCCGTATCTCCTAATAGTGCGTGTAATACGCCGGAAAAAAATGCCGCAAAGTGATCTCTTTGCGAGTCATTCGTTGAAGAAGAGAACCCGCTCTAGATGTCGAATTTTTCTGTTCGATATTGATTATGTTGACTTGCAATATTCTCAATAATAAGTTATTAATCGATATTTTTCTCGACATGTGACAAGCAGAACACCTTTGTAGATATGTAATCTTAAGACACTGAATCGGATTGAATCTAGCAAGATGACTGAAATGTCAGATTACCCTAATCTCCGACTTCCTATCACAGGCGCTAACGACTATACTTCATATTTCCTCGCGTATGCTGTCTCTCTCTCTTTCTCTCTTTTTTCTTAGTTCGTCAATTTGTTTGCAAAAGAAAAATGCCTCAACATCCGCCTATCCTCCGTGCGACAAGATTCGCACAGTCACGTTGCGCCGCGAGAAACATCGGTTGATATAAGGGACACATCCGAGATGCCGGTGTGTGCCCGTCGTACACCGTAGGTAGCCGCATTCTCCGGATGATCGAGAACAATCGCTTTTAATTGCAGGCTACTCGTACGATCCCGATTGCATGTACGTTAACGGGACGGGCCGCGACTACTATGAGTTCTACATTCAGCTGAATCGATGCGGCACCCTCGGCGAGAACACTCATCATCAGGACAGCAGGAAGAATCCGACGGTATGTAAAACAAACGAGCTCGAGTGACGGATCGTTACTTTAGCGCGCACCAGCCGACACAGAATAATAATGATTAACAACACGGGGGAAAATAAAATAATCCGGTCTTTGGGAGCGAGGCGGCGAGTTCATCTCGATAATCAGAGAAAATTAGATGTCGCGTTCGTGGGGAACGGGGACGAAGCTATTATATAGTGGCAGATTTACGTGGGAAATAAAACTCGCGTATACGTTGTTCGCGACAGATGTGCTCACAATTTTATTTTGCAGAAAAATCTCATGTGGAACACGGTCACCGTGCAGTACAATCCATTGATAGAGGAGGAATTCGACGAGCACTTTAAGGTGACTTGCGAGTACGGTTACGACTTTTGGAAGACGGTGACATTTCCCTTTCTTGATGTCGAGTAAGTGTCAATTTTCCTTCAATTTTTTTTTCATCCTATCGCATGTTAGGAACACAGAAAACTCTAAAAACTCTTAAATTAATTTATTTTTATAATTATATTTACCGTTTATATTTGCAAAGTATTTGATAAATTAAATTTTTGACATAATGGGGACTCGGTAAAAATAAATCAGTTATCGTTTAATAATAATGATTGTACAATAATGTTTGTAAAATGGACTTCGAACATATCGTACGGAAACGTACGTACGAAGATCGATACATTGATTAAAGACATGGGTCATTACCATAATGCGCGCATGGAAAGACTGACATGGTATCGTCTAAACTCACCGATTACGTGAGATCGACGGAAGGTTTCGCGCGAGCGCCCAACGTTTACGTAATATGTACGATAATGTCTAACATCTGTGCTATCCGATGGCGCGAAGTAGGTCGTACTACTCGCGAGATAACGGATACGCATTCTACGCACCCACCTTGTTCCAGGGTCGCCACGGGAAATCCCGTAGTCTTCACCCTGCAGCCTCCGGAGTGCTACATGGAAATCAGATACGGTTACGGGACCACTGGAACTAGAGTGGCTGGACCAGTTCGCGTTGGCGATCCCCTGACTCTCATTATCTACATGCGCAGTAAATACGGTAAGCTTCTACGCGTAAATCGCTAGAGCTGAAGCGTCCATTAGGCTCAATGAGCGCGATCCACTAATTGCAAGATGCTTCAAATAAGCAACAACCGAAAGATAAAAAATATAGATTTATTTAAAAAATATTTTATTATATGTTTGTTTTTTTATACATATATGTAATTTTTGTACAATTTATTTTTTAATTTAAATCGTCACACATTCGAGAGACTTGAGATAAATGTAGTTCTTTATGAAAAGATCGATTTAATGTAATTAATTTAAAAAAAAGCCTTGAAATAAATTGAAAAATTAAGTACTGTTACTATAATAAATAAGGATCTTCTATAACAAAGAAGAGAAATGTGAAAAAAGAAATTAATAGTAATCGGTCAACTGACTAATTCATTAAAGCCTCATTGTACATGACCAACTTTTTCAAATCATATATTTTATATTTGTAATCTTACGATAAATAAAACAATTTTGCCAGATTATTTCGAAAGATTGGCCAATGTAAATCTAATCACAAACATAATTTTTGAGTGCTTAAAATGTGATTACAAAATGCTAATATCGAAGTCTAAGTCTTAACGAAACAAATAATCTGTTATAGTAAAACACGAAGCGTTCTCTCTCTTACAAATTACTCGCAGCACTACTACACGTTTTCGCGTATCTTTTATTTCTTATTCTCGTCTATCTATTCTTACCTATTGCCCGGCTTAATCATATGACCCGATTCCGCCTAGATATCATTCGATAACGGTATAAGATGAGGCACGAGACTTTGTCAGTCGCGGCTGCAGTCCGAGCTCACAATCAGTAATTTGTGAAAGATGCGGAAATGTAGAGAGGAGGATATGAAAATGTATGCGCTTCGACGTAACGACAGATGTCCGTGCTTTAACAAGTCAGTCTTCTGTATTTACGTCGACATCTTATGTCATGCGAATCTATGTCAGAAGGTAAACGTCACGTCATCGTATCCTCTTCCTACCGCCTTTGACAAATTGGTTTCATTATTAACGACATATTTCATACAAGTTAATCCCTCACACACACAAACACATAGGTTCTTACCTAATTATAATAAATTTCCAAGAACGGTTCTCTCCGGGCAAATTACACTCATCGCATTGCTTTAAAAACATAATCTCTTTTCAAACCGGCACTGACGCTAATTTATGTAAGTAAGCTAAATTTTATATCGCAATTTACGATATGTTACTGTTTTTTATAGACAGATTCCTGTAGCTACGAATGATGAAAATGACTATTCACATTAATTTTTTGTTATAGACGGTTTTGATATCGTTGTGAACGATTGCTACGCGCATAATGGCGGGAACAAAAGAATTCAACTGATCGATCAATACGGATGTCCGGTCGATGATAAACTGATCAGCCGGTTTCGAGGCTCCTGGTCGGAGAGTGGCTTGTTCGAGACGCAAGTCTTCGCTTACATGAAGACCTTCAGGTTCACCGGATCGCCGGCCCTGTATATCGAATGCGATGTTCGCATGTGCCACGGAAGATGCCCGGTAACTACATATTATAGGACGTAATCGATTTTAATCCACTTATCCACTTTAATCTACTTAAGAAATATCACGTTGATTGAATCTGTGTTTAACCGCACCAGAATTATTTACTCCCAAACTATTTTGGCTATCATATTTATCATTACATCACGTACAAATAAAAATATTATTTGATATTTTTTTGGTGTAAAATATTCTCAATCCTCTACGAGCTTGTATTTTTTAATTTTTCCAATAAAATTGATAAATGAAACTTTTAAAAAACGATGTCTTAAAAAGAAATCGTGGATAATCTAATTTTTAGAGGGATATTTTTACTCTCTTGTACCATTTGTTCTCATATGTATATTAAAATACGATGTTCCAATTTCATAGATATTCCTAACTTGAACACTTCATCTATGTTTCAGAGTCAACCTTGCCACTGGAGAAACGCGAAGAACGTAGTAAAACGATCAGCGTCGGAAATGATCGGTGGACCATCGACACCGGCAACCAGTTTGTCGGAGAACGTGAATCTCTTCCAGTCTCTTCGCGTCCTTCAGGAAGGCGAGGCGGACACGGAACTGTTCCAGAATTCCACGAGCGCTTTTCGCAGTGGTAAAGCAAATATTTATGTCAAAGATGACTTTACTGTTGTAACAATTATGTCAAACCATATGCATTTATCATAATTTTATTCAGTAAAAAATGTTTCACACACACTCAATTGTCATATATAATGATAGAGGCCGATTTTATGATTGTTAAATCAAGTTTTCTCGCAGATATAAATTTTTCAAATCTTTTATATAAAATTATATATAATACTCTAGTAAAAAATAGAAATGAATTATTGAAATTGTTATAAATTAAAATGCAACTTTTTTCTGTCACTTTAGATATTAAAGATTTATGATTATAAAATGAAAATGAAAAATTTTATCTAGTATCCCAGTAAACACTGTTTGTTGTAACAATATAATGTGGAAGTAACAAATAATATAACGCAAGTTACCTTTTTATAATGAAAGACTGTAATAGATCATACATATTATTTTGCATTATTACAATAGTAATGTAAATATTATTGCAATATAATATTGTTATATATGTGTTCCTTCGTTTGCCGCTATGCGGCAAAACCAGACTTAACTAACTACTATTTAAGTTTTTGCCATAAAATGCGTAGAAAGGTTACAAAAGACAGATATTAATATACGATGCAAAATATATATTTTCTTTGATAGTTTAATTTCGGATACAATTCCAACAAGAAATTCAGAATATTAAACAGATTATTTGAAATTGAGCGGGTAAGTGGGGGAAATAGTCCATTTATTGTCTATTTAAAGCAAAAAATCGGAATTTCTATATAAATTAAATCACGAGTTTTATCAATTAAATTATATTTTAATTATATATAAATTATTTTTTTC